AGATTCAGTGAATTGAGTGGATTGAGAAGGGAGAGATTACCATTTGTTCAACAGATTAAGTTGATTGTTAAGTAGTCCTTCACGTGCTTTTTCTTACAGTTATTATTTGTTCTACCAGATTTTCTAAAACTGTCTTGTCATCACTTGTAGCTATAACTGTGACAGGCTATTTAGTAAAAGCATGTCGGCTAATTGAGGACAACAATGCAATAAAGAGGGTTAGTGTGAGCAAACCAGGCTAGCAAGTTGAGCTAAAGAACGTTTCCCATCCCATCAGTGGTAGTAGTAATAAAAAAAAACATTCTGGATAAAATACAGCGATATCTTTCTAAAATCAATAGAACTCTTCTTCTAAGGAACATTGTTATCAAAGACATCTTCATTTCGTATTTGTCAGAGCCTCGGTGTAATCACCATATAATGAGTAGTCTAGTTTTTCAAGTTCACACAGAACAAGGTCAGAGAAGCACTGAATCTGCGTTTGGGTGTCAATTTGCCGACGTTAATGATGCCTTGCCACCACTCCACAGTCATGCATCATGTTTGCAGCGTCACCATCCTGGATGTATACTCCTCTGTGTCTTAAAACAGATATTATATTTATCTCCTTTGCAAAGCAAATGCTGCAGGTTTATGTTTGAATTCTGTTCAATCGTTTTAAAAAATAACTAATAAATAGTTAAACACTCTCAATGACATGTGCATTATCCCCTAAATTAAAGCTTAAGGGCCACTTCCCTTCAAATTTCCTCTGAACTTTGTGTTTGTTTCATTTGGAAAATCCACAGTTTCTTTGTCCCCTTCAGTGAGATGGATAGGAAATCCATCAGAATACTTTGGGATGAAGGCCTGATTTAAGAACAGGTGATTTTAGAGAAAAAGCAGAAGTGGGACATTAACTACATCCACAGTATACAGAGCAAAATGGCTTGATCTTACTCAGCACATTTCTTCATTTCCTGTTTTACTTTTCTTGCAACAGTCAGATTCAACTCATCAGATTCAAGTACAGGCACTACACTGGTTCCCCAAGCACTGTTAATTGATTATGTTGAGGAAACCATCATTTATTTAACATTCATCTTAAACATGAGTAATTTATGATGTGATTATGGCAACATTTGAATGCCAGGGGTTTTTAAAAGTTGACAGACGGGCTTCTTTTTGTGGGTTTGGTTGACTTCTGCTCGACATGTGCAAAACTAATTACACACAGACACAAACCCCTCTGTTTGTGCAGCCGAACAATCGGAAGTGAAAGAAAGAGCACTTTCTGGCAACTTCCTTACAATAGAGCAACACTATGAATATAAAACACGTTTACACATAATGAATTATAAAAGACCTCCGTTTTCTTTGAATCTAAATGATATTTCTGAAATTGTTCAAATGAACCATCAGCTAACCAGACAATGTTTCAAGGGCCATAGCTGCAAAATCCGTCCGGAGTGCATACAAGGTTTCACCACGAACATGAAAAGCCAAACATGAGGCAACACCTCACTGTGCAGCGTGTGTGTTCCCCCTCTGCGCCCTCTCTCCAGCCCATATGACCCGCAAAGGGACTTTCACTTTCTCTGCACACTGTCAAACTTCCTCTCAGCCCAAACACCCCCTACACCCTGGACTCCCCTGGCCCCTCTCTCCCTGCTTTCCCATGGTCCCACTACATACACACACACACACACACACACACACGTTCTTACATGGAGCATTGTTTCAGCTATCGACTGCTCTGTATTCCACCATCTGTTAAGCACTCTCCCAGCTGTTGCCCACTCTCTCCCTGCTTGACAAAATAACAGCCCTACGAGCGGGTGACACGCACGCAGGACAGAAATTACACAGGGCCGTGTCTGCTAATTAGAGACGGAGGGAGGTTTAGTGACTGGTCAGGCTGCAGGTAGAGTCAGCTGTCAACCTGGTTGCACACACACACACACATGCCAACCTATTGCCCTCCCTCACACTGATTCACGGCAGACGCTTACTGATGAGCTGTTTACCTAATGAGGCACACTTAACCAATCGTGTGGGCAGCATCATGTCAAGAAGATGGCCCTTACAGTCGGCACTCAAAAGCACATTTTTATTATGTCTACTGGTCGGTTACAAGACAACATTTTGTTTTACGCTCTACCAACCGTATCCTTCCCTCTTCCTCATCTACTTTCCAGTCCGGTTGACTTTGGCTTCACTCTGGTCCTGTGAGGCTTAAAGTTTCCACACACTCCACTTTTACAAGCTGTTACTGTACTATGAAATGTTAACCTGGAAGACAATATGCTCTCCAACCAGCGCATGGTGTTCGAATTCAGGACTTCCAGAGGGAAGCTCTCGAGCTGAAATCACGAGGATGCAGATAGTGATACATGGAGCCCCTGGGACTGGAGCCAGTGACATCCCCGAATCCAAATTAGGTAAAGAGACACAACGTACTGCCAGAAGATGCAACCTGTAGTTATTTTTTGTTTTGTGCTGAAGAAATTGAACAAGAAAAGGTCATTCTAATCATGTTAAAGAAAGTATGTTTTCCATTGCTTCTAAAGAATTTTGTAATGTTGGTACAGTAAGAAGTCAAGCTATAACGTACACATGCTCTCTGTGCATTATTCAATAGTTGATCATATGGCCTTCGCATTCTTCTAAAACTCTGTAGTAATTGTCCGAAAAACACGGATCCGTTGACTACCATGGGGATTCTGGCTTCATTACAACACATTTATTGGCTGTCTTATTGGATACATTATGAAACTGCAGGAGAGGAATACCACATGTTTTAAAGGAGGGGGTCAGTGTACACTCATCTGTGTCTGTCCATTCCTTAAGAGAGAAAAAGAGAGGTGATCTGATTCTGATCATTGGACACCAGTCATTCCGTGGGCCGTTGAACGTTGTGGTGCTCAGTGCACAATGGACTGATTAGTACACATCTGGACATGTGAAAAAAAGAGAAAATTCATCTTGAAAAGTTTGCTGTAAATCTGCGTGCATACTTGGCTGAAGTAATTTAATGGTGTAATATAGTGAAAAGCGTCACAGAACCTTTTTGCAGCATGAGAGGCCCTATATCAATTATTTCTTTAAGGTTTTATTAATATGAGACATCTGGATTCAAACTTTCTGAAGTGTTTACCAGTAAGCACATGCTTTACTTCTCTGCGAGATATTATTTAAGCAATGGCAATGTCAGGGCTTTGCTACAAACTGATCATGTAATTTGTTTGTTCATGATATTGATTCACAGTCTTGTCAGAGAACCAGAATCTCAACATTTTTGCTTCCTGGAAGTGGAAGAAAACATCTGGTAGAAGCATTGCTGTCCCAAGATGCTGTCTGATGGTGAAGCAAGAGAGAGGGAGAGCATCCAGAGCAAAGTGCTTCTTCCTCTGAGACAACTGTCTTTGATGAAGAGGGGGAAGAGAGTCACTGCTGCAGACACACACAGATCTCCATAGCGTGTTTGCAGGCACCACAACATGAATGCTCTTTATTAACCTTGACGTTTATAGTGGCTGGGAGGCTCACTTGGAGTTTCCATGTCACTTTGACCCCTCTTATATTACTCCTTGTTTGGGCATTGTGACTGTTCACTGCAACTGTCCTTTTTCTGTTTTCAGGTTAAGAAACGTTGTGTGCTCCACGTGGGATTAGAGGCAGGAACAGCAGGAACTGTCTCCTTGTGGTGCCCCCCCCCCCCCTGGTTCCCTAAACTGCAAACCATATGGACCCCCTCTACGTCCAGGCTGAGCTGAAGGAGGCTGCGGATGTCTGGTGGAGGATGCTGGGGTGCGTTGGGGGTGGGGCCCAGGGATCCACAGTGCTCTGTTTGTTCTAGGTTAATGGGTTATCCTTGATCAGGAAAGGTAGAAGTGTATTAGAGCCTGTTTGTTTGGAAAAATCGATGGGAGGGATAAAGAAAAGCTTCGGTGTCCTTTTCAAGGAGGAAACACGGCGGTGCTGAGCTCAGACATGGTTACAGAGAAACAAAGAAGGGTTATTTCTAACTACACTACATTAAGTGCCAGAGCAAAAATGTTTCATGATAATCACTGCTAGGGTTTATACAACTTATACATTTGTGTTAAATTTCAGGATTAAAAACAATGCAGCAGATGGAACTGATGCCAAATCAAAGCCCCTCAAACTGCATGCATTGCTACCTAGCCTGTTAAACCACCTTCATGTTTCATTTTCTCAGACCTGCACAGGATTATGTCACATGGTGGTCTGTAAAATTTGAGTAGAAATTCAATTATTAGGTCTCTGGCCCACACTATGCATTGCACTGTGGAGCCGGCAGGATCATAGGGAACCATTAACCAACCAAACAATGCCCAAAATGCTTTCTCATTTCGCCTGTTTTGGCTTATCCTCATACTGTCAACTGCTTATGACATTCAAATTAACTTTTGCTGTGTCCAATCACAGTACTCCACCCTCTACTCCCCTGCTAAGAAAATATACTCTTAGAGAAGGGTGCACTTTTGGGGATATGTGTCCAAAGACGTTTTGCACCAAAAAGTAAAAGTTATAAACTAACCCTGATATGAGTTGCCTCGTGATGGATAACATATAGCCTTGCCATTGTGCTAGAACAACAGCCTTGAGCTGCAGCACCTGCAGATTTGCTTGTCAGCATAATTCTGACATTGTCTGGCATTAATTTAGTCTTGGTGTGTACTCTATGTGTATACATACACATGTGGCAGTAAGTGCTGGTGTGTGTGTGTGTGTCTTTGCATGCAAGCTTATGCTAATTTTTGCAATTAGAGCCTGCCCTGCAGAGTATACGGTGAGTTCATATATTGTGCCTGCTTGGGGCATTTTCGCGGGGGCTTCACTTCGGCGAGTATCAACTACGCTTTAGTTTTATGGTCACTACTACATTAGTCAATGAACACGAGCCAAAAGTCCACCCGTGATGTCACGAGCCCGTAACTGGTGAAATTCAACACCACCGGCTGGTAGGAGTTGTGTCGGGGTGAATACGGATCCCCTTGCATCAGTACAAGTCAAGGCACATAGCAGAAACCACCGCCTGGGGGTAAAGACGCTCAGAGCTGGATCTGCTGTTGTGTTGGAAACCACTCAGTGAGAAGTAGTCGAGCTGTGCCTCTCTGTATCGCACACAGCAGTTGAGTTAGCTCTCCTGCAGTCCTCCAAGCCAACTTTTCCATGCAACTGTTGCGCGTCTCCACTTTGGATAGAAATAGTCGGATCACTGCGCGCCGCAGAGCGCAAAGGATCTGAGAAGAGTGGGAGAGATCTCTCCTCCGGACTGCGATACGATGAGGAAATTTTGAGGTGCAGAACTCATCCGTCCACTTTACGCTTCCGTTGGCTGTTACCAAAGGGCTAGCCCATGAGCAGGTATCCTCTTCAGTGTGATTCTGTTTTCACCCAGATCTCTGCTGCCTGGACAAATGCATACAAATGCATTTAGGAGCTCAACGGACAAGGAGTGGACACGTTTCCGCGGCAGCAACGTAAGTGGGCAACTATTGGTTTAATAGTATGCAGATGTTAGGCCACCTATGTACATTTGAAACTGTTCCTGGGACAGATTTTCTTATAAAATGGCAACTGGGGGACTTATTTACGCCAATTGACTAAGCAAAGTGCTTGCAAATATACAGGGTTTGCCACCAAAACGTGACTGAAAATACAGTATTTTCAATTCGGTCAATACGATAAATGCATGGAGTTTAATATTGAAATGATTGGTCAGTTAATATTGTTTTTCATTTTAGGATGTTTTCAATTCGATCCTTTTGTTTCTGTTGACTTTTCGTCCCACAGTTCTGCACAATAATCATACAAGCCGCACTACAGCTGCACATGTGTACTTGTGTAAAAGTTTTGAATATTTACTGTGAACTTCTTTTTCATGCCGAGTTTATCTTGATGAATGTAGCTGACATCTTAGTAAGTGCACAGTCTTGGCTTTGAACTAGTCCCATGAACATGCAGCCTGGGATCTCCTCCATTATTATCTGAATACCATGTGGTCCACTGCTGTACGCCCTTTCACTGACATAGCTATGATAAGCCGGGAAATGAACATTGAAAATGGCTTGGAAGCAATGGTGCTTACTCAGCATCTAACACATTAATCAAACTCTGTCATAGTGTTTGCCTTAAATGGGGGAAAAAAATCTATTCAGTGCCTTTAAACCTTAACATTCCTCATGGAAGTGTTTATTATTGACATCCTGCATGCAGGTTTTGTTGTCCTGTTACATTCAGCTGGGACTGTGGAGCTACAGAAATGTGCACGCCTCCATAGGCTACTAAACAGGAAATGTATTTTCTTCCATCAGAAGTGAGTCCAAGTTGTCTGTACTCTATTATGAGTTCCTTCCAGATACGATCTAAAGAGAGCTGAGCTCACAAAGCATTCTGTTGTTCCGCTGATAGTGTTTGCTCGATGGAAAACAAAGTGAGAACCGGGTTAACTGAGAACAGTCATGGCCTCCCTTGAATTCACTGGGAGAGTTAGTGTGTATGCATCAGTGGTTGACTGGCTCCTGAGCGCCAGATAATCGGCCACTGTTGCAAGTATTGCTGCTCCATTGCTGGTGGTGGTTGGACTGTAGAGCTGCAGAGACTCACAGCTACTCACATACTGTACACGTTAGTGAGAGCATGCTGTCTCCTCAACGTTAGCTGGTGCTTCCCATGATAAGTGGATGATGCAAGTTTTTCAGGAAGTGGAGATGAGCTATACTTTGGAGGAGGGGAATCTAGACTAATGGCTGATAAAAATGGTAAATGTAATGATGGATGATGAGGTGGACTGTTTTTTGCCTGGTGCTCTGACACAGTGGTTAGTTTACAATTACTTTAAGTGTGATTGATTCATCTAAGGTGTGGTGCACCTGTGTTTTAATGAAAGGTGTGTTCAGTAGGTTGCTGAGGTGTTGGATACAGGGTTTCTCTTTTATTGCGAACATCAATGGAAACTAAAGAGGGTACCCTACTATTTATTTATATGAGGATTCAAATAGCAACGTACACACTCTTCTTATTTGACTGGACCACCAACAAGTCTACTGTGAAGAACTACTCTCCAACTCTTGTTGTCGTTAAGTACAGATACTGTAGCTTGCCATGAGGCCATCATCACACTTACTGTGATGATGGCCTCACATCTTTTGTTTTGTTTTCTGTGTATTTTAAGCCAAAGAGTCTGTAATCTTTGGCCAATAAGAGTAACAAGCTCAGTTCAATCCTATATGGGTGGTATAACATGAGGCTGAAGATAAAGAGCAGTCCACCCCTAAATAAAGAAAAGAAGTCTCAATGATTGGTATTTAGCTATGTAGCTAGTTTACTTTTTATTATTACATTCACGCTAAGACTTATACACCACCCCATAACAATGGAGGTGAGTAAAAGCTGTTTGTGAGATGTGAAAAATGTATTGACATTGACAAACATAAAAAAAAGTCAACAGCAACAGGTCTTAGAGGAAACAATGTCTAAGTTACTCAGCATAATCTACAGAGCCCAATGCAAACATTTCTATTGTGACCTAATGTCTGCCCATGGTGAGGAACTGTTGATAGGAAAAGCATTGCCGAGGTGGCGTTATTATTATTATTGTTGTTATTTTCATTTTTTCATATCAGAGTATTCACTCCTGTAAGCAAAAATAATGCAAGGTGGAATCACAGCCTGCCCTTTTTCTCTTGCTGCCATATAGTCACCTTCTCCGCACCATTGCCTGCAGGGATTTTGGCCTGTCTGTGAGAGTGAGTGTATTTAGCCCTTCTAACATCTGCAGGTCCCCCCCGCAACAGGAAAAGGGCAAACTATTAAGCCAGTGGAGGTTTACTCACAGCTCTTTGTCTGCTCGCTGTCTTGTGTACTAAGTCAATCTTTTCTCTGGTCTGCGGTGACCTCCTGACTCCAGTCACCCATCTGAGTGAGCGCAAACCACGCACCACGCTCGGCTCTTTGTCAATTAAGACGCCGGCGGTCTTACAAAATAAGATGAATAGTTTTGTTCACGAGTTGCTTGGAGTATTTTGGAAATGCACCAGATCTGCAAAGTATTTCAATCTTTAGCCCGAGAGAGAACATCAAATGGCCAAATGAAACCTGGAAACTTGTTGACCTGCTAATTTGCGCTCACGGCAGTTTAGAAACGATAAGAAGACAAGCCCGCTTAGTGCTTCCATAATGAAGTAATTATGACCAAGATACAGGTGCTAAAGCTGAAACATGGCCAGTAAGAGCATATATTGGCTGTGGATCAGTTACTTGCTCATATCCAGGCATTCTTTGGTCGAGACTGAGAAGTGAAAGCATGCAGTAACAGAACACCTGATTAGCAAGACACTCAGATCTTTCCGTCGAGAGAAATATCTGCTTGGTCTTAGCATCTGAACGCTGTGTGTGTGTGTGTGTGTGTGTGTGTGTGTGTGTGTGTGTGTGTGTGTGTGTGTGTGTGTGTCTAATGCTGGGTATTAACAAAAGAACTCTACAGTTTATATGATGGATGTCATTTTTGAGCTTTCCGATTTCTTTCTTTCACAGTTTGATGTCTTCGCAAAGTGACTAATGTCATGAAACTCATTACAGCGAGTGAGAGCACTGTGTCAGGTTATGTGTCGAAGCTATTTGCTTCACTCTGTTTTGAATCCCACTCTATTTATAACGTCGGCTCAACTGAGCCATATTTCTGCTATGAAGGGCATATAACAGTGGAGGTTAGGCAAATGCTCCAAGGTCAAGCTCTATAAACCTCAATTTTCTGAACGATGACTCCATGTGGACTACTTCTAAATAGTACCGCATCTACTCTTGTGAAGGCAGAAACGATCTTTTCAAAGTCAACAGAAGGGGATGCAATGTGACGGGTCAATCAAGGTGACTCCCATCGTGTTTGTTTCGATGGTCCAGCATGTCAGAGAACCTTTCCACCGAAGGCGAAGTAAAGAGGAGCTGCTGTACATGGTTTTTACCCCCAACACAGATAAACAGCCATTTTACGCGTACACCTTCCGTTCTGTTTATTCCCTCAAGAAGGCAAACATTTTAGTTTGGGTAGATTAACAGCTTTGCATACTTTGTTGATGCTAATGGATTTAGTAAGTGGCCTGCCAAATGAGACATGTAAACATTGTACCGTGAACGTCACTGCTCACAAAGTCACACCCTGAAAGACATCAACGATGAAAGTAAGAAAATGGTTTCCTTCTCCTTATGAGGACTGTAAACAGACCTTAAGTGACATTGCTCTCTTTGCCAAACCAGATGAAGCACTGCACCTCTCCATTTGCCCCTCAGCCTTTTTCCTCAGTTGAATGAACCATTGTGAGGGATCCAAGCTCATTTTGAGAGGAGAAAGGCAAGATCTGTTACCGCTGGAATGATTCATTGCAGAGAGGAGTTTTAAGTTGGGATTATTTATAGTCTTGACATGACACCCACTCCCCACGTAGTGGCATTTCCCTCAGTCAACAGAGCAGTGTTTGGGGAGCTTTGTCTTTCTTTCAGCAGTCTTTTCCATTAACTGCAAGGGCTGGAAAGTATGTCATAGTGTGCTGTCACTTAGACTGGGATTTACCACAGGATTTAATAAAGAAACAATGAAACTGGTGGCTCTGCCTGTAGCCTACGTTCTGGGCACGAGGAACTCAGTTCTGTCGCTTCCTTCCTGTTTGCATATAACTAAATATAAAATCTTTAAAAAAGGGCTCACAAAGTTCACCAACTGATGCTGAGACGGAAGGATGGTAAATGCTAGGATTAAGGTAACTGCGTCGCTGTAGATGTGCTGAAGCGATGACCTGAGTCTGTTCACTCGATGAGTCTCAGGGATGCCTTAAATAGCCCTTTACAGGGAGACTGTGTGACAGACAGGCAGAAAAAGCTGTCTGGATCAGCATCAGATGGCCCCACTTGACACTCCAAAAGGGAATGTTATGCGTTATATTTAGTTTTTTTTCTTCTTTTTTGGTCTACTTTTAAACCCTGCCAACTTTAATGCAGAACCAGCTCGTCATTGGCTTCATAAATGTCAGTCTTATCCTCTCCCGACAGATGAATGATTGTAATCATATATTCCCCCCTCGTTTTTCTCTGTTGTATTTTCCTGCTTCAGGGATATGTCTGTTCCCAACAGTGGAATATCACACCACTTTCTCAATGGGGAACAAGTGACAGACACTGCCCATAGTGTTTCTACTTGCGCTCAATCTTTTTCTTTCCCTTTTCTCTTGTTGTTTTTTTCTCTTCATCTCTTTCTTTCTCTCTTTCTCTCGTTCTTTTCTCTGCCTGCGTCTGTTTCTCTTTGTTTTGCTCAAATCTGCGGGCCACATTGCTCTGGGAAGACAAACATGGTTGCCTGTCTGTGGCTTTCCATCCAGCAGGGCCACACAAACACTACTGGTAGCCTCTTTGCCGGGTTAATCTTGTCCTCAAAGGCCATGAAGGAGAGATGTTTGTAGCCATAACAATCCCTACATTTCTAAGGTGCGACAGCACCCGGTGATTGATAGCAGTCTTACATAACTGCATATTAAAATAACAGAACTATGGTCTCCTCCTGTCATTTGGCCTACTGCCGCTGACAATCATCCCGCTAGTTGTCAAAAGACCCTTCAAGTTGTGTCAGCAGCTGTTACTGCGTCCAGGACTGTCCATGTGATTGATTTGGTTTGAATGTACAGAGTATGCTTTGAAGCAGTCTGTAACTGCTCTGTAAAGTGTGTTGTGGGAGAAAATAGATGGCATGCCAGTGACGAGGACTACTGTTTAAAGCAAAATCCAAATATCAGATCATATTTTAGTTTGTATGCAATGCAAAGTTTCCCCACATTTACAAAAAAGTTATTATTCCATTTTTAGGTTTAATGGCTTGGTGTATTTGGTAGTTTGACATGTGATTTGACTGAGGAAAACATGAACAAGAAAAATGATTATGCTCACCTGTAGTATTAGTTTTTGTAAAGATAGTGTTGATATTATTTTAGTTAGTATATTACCCTTACATCCAATCTGTATGGTTTAATACTAAAACACTGCTACATATCTTGCTTTGCTTTTTCACACCCCTATACTGGTTGACAATGTCAGTAAATGTTACACTGCGTTATATAGTTAGGTTACCCACAACACGGATGGTGAGAGTGTATAACCAGGATGAAATGTTCTGCTGTTGCTTTAGCTTTAGAGATTTCATTGAATAAAGACTGAAGACAGATGGGGACATTTGTGCACGGTGGTCTGTGTAATCGCTGGCCTCTGAATTACAAACGTTGCACATGCTCCCCATTTAAAACTGGTATTAACGTAACATGTAGTGTATGTGAAAATCTCATCTGAATAAGGGAAAATGAATGTGAATGTGACGTGTGAATGCACACTGCACTGGGTTTCTTTACATTTCTTTGGCTTTTTACTGATGGTGCACAGCACAAGCTGCCCTCCTAGCTATATGGTGGGCACTGCCACCTAGAGGTGGGGTCAGTGAGGGTCAAAGTACTGAAGTACTGAGGGCATGCAGTCATATATGAGTTACACGTAGGTCCATCTCATTGCGTGAATATAAATGAGTGTATACAGATTATGTTTCTTTCAATTATAAGTGTTTAACAAGATGTGCTTTTTCTTTATCTGTTTTTAGCATGATGACAATTTTCAATAGCAGTCAAAGCAGTAGTATATAAAGATGTTTTTTGAATTGAAGTAAAATCACTATATTATCATGTATGGTATGTGTGGCTTTTCAGAATATATAAGCAGATCATGATCTTATTTTATATTTAAAAAACAGTGAACAAGAGAATGAGAATGAAGATCGATGAGACAAAGTGCTCTCTGCAAGTTAAACATATAATAATCTTGAAAAGCAGGCGTGGCTCGTATCAGTCTAAATTTCAGCTGTGGATTTCCCTCTTTGTGGTCAAAGCTTTGCTGAGGCATGCCTCCATGAACAGCATTTAATTGTTATGAACCAAATGTGCCTTTGAAACAAAATCCACGATTGTTTGTGAACAGTAAAGTACGACACAGAAATGCTCCCTGCTTGACTTGTCACTATATTCCCCGACATAAACAGCCTGAGTTAGGTTGCCTTTTAACGGATTCCCGCTTCTTTATACATGTTCCAAGAACTGATTTTGACTCAATGTGGTCTTGGGCTGAAACTTTTACTTTCATTATCAATTAATATGTCCAATCAAATGTCCAAATCCAAAGGTATTCAACACACAATAATATAAACGATTAATGATTATGAAAATTGTTACCAATAATTTCTTTGGGTTAATTGACTAATGAATTTACAAATAATTTCAGCATTAATGTTTACCATTAGCCAGTGAGCCTATAATTAAATGTAATGTATAAAGTTTAGATTCATTGTGTGGTTTACAGCATGAAATATATTTGTTTTGTATATTTATGGTAATAATTTTACAATGTAAGTAATTTCCTCTGCTTGTTATGTATGTGTTTACCATCACATTGCACAAGGTTTTCTTCCTTTATTTTGCCCATGGTGTGTTTACCCAATGTGAACAATGTCATAACATTTGTAGACGTTGTTTAGGCCACTGCCATACATTATTCCATCATGCTTGTTGCTAATTGGCCTCAAGCACACACAGGACACACCTCAAACCCAGACGTTCTAAATCACTGCGCAAGGTAGCGAATTACCTGCATGCTGGCGAAAATAATTTAACTATAGGTCACAGTCATAACAGACTTGACTTTGATAAATCAGTTTTGTCAACGATAACTAATGTTGGTGTTAGTTAAATTTAATGTCAATTAGCTAACTAGCTACCCTTACCGTTGGCTTTTATCTTTGTATGAACATTCAATTAACGACCGTTATGGCTGGCTAGTCGAGGTCTTTTCTTTGTGCCATCTCATATAACGTTAATATGTGAATGTTACAAATGTTTATGCTTACCTCTGTTCTACTTTGTTGTCTTTAATGTGCTTGTTTTTATTTTTTATACCCAATTCTTCACACGCTATGAGAGGAAGTACAAAACCTGTGTTCATAGGTGGTGGTAGGCAATATAATTAACAGCTGTGTTTTCTTTTGATTCATTTTTTCGAGATAAGTCTTATGGTAGACATTTTGGCAATCACAGGTGCAGTTAGGCAATATCGTTAGTAACGACTGCTTTCCGTTAGCTTTAGGTGTTTGAGTTCTAGGGCCCGTGTATTGTGCATGCTGGTTCAACGGCATTGTTTACCGACTTTCCTAAATTGAACATGGTCATCATTCCTGTTATTGATTTGCCTGTTTTTTTCTGCTATGACATGTCAAAACAACTGATGCGAGAAACGTTAAAGGCAGGGTTGGTAATCTTGAGAAACTAGCAAGAGTAAGCTATATTAAAAAAATGATCCAACCGCTGGCTGGGATGGCATGCCACTCTTGTTCTAGTGGCATGTGGCAAGCCTGAGTGGTATGCCACTGTTGGTTTTGGTATACTGACTTCTGGCACTTATAAACAGTAACATGCCACTTGTGTTCTAGTTTCAAGAGGTATGCCATCAGGCAATCTCAACCTCATCCCTCAAGAGGCCCGTGCCTTCTACTCTAAATTGCTGATTTCAGGGAGACTCTCCCTATGTTGGCAGGATAAGGCTAAACCTTTAATAGCTAATGACTGAATAGAAAAAAAGTCAATTTATAGTCATTGGTGTTTTTCTCAGACTTACCGCAATTGTGTGCTCTCTATTTCACTTGTGACTGAAACAAAACCTCAACAAGAGACAATTGTTCTTTGTAGAGCTGATTTATTATTTGACTTGAGTGTTGGCTCATCTGTGCGTCTCAGTGTACTCAGGATAATCAGTATGGTGTCTGAATGTAGTATACCGTCATCTCTCTTTTGACAGTTTCACATGCAATGAAAACCTTGTGGCATGCATCTTTATGATGAACATCAATTCCTTGTATGAACTACAGTATATCACCAGGATTGTTGGTTTGGAGAAGGGGTGCTACCTTTGTTAATAGGTCAGCATTGCTGTCTCACAGCGAGAAAGATCAGGCATGACTTTCCAGCCCTGGTCCCTCATATTTACTCATGGAAATCTAGTTTTCATCTTAGGCTGCAACACACAAGGCGACTTAGACACTCTAATCAGTCATACATGTAAATGTGTTTGTTTGCATCTATTTTCGCCCTGTGATGGAATGGCAACCTGTTCCTCAAATGATTCAGTGGACATACTGTATGTATGTACGAGAGCAGGGTCTTTTAAGGGAAAAATCACTGTAGCAGAATTTTGATCTGAATGGTCCTTCATTAGCTTGACATGATTACTGATTGGAACATCTGCCTACATTTCTCTGTTTCAAACTTTCAATAGATTGCAATTAAAATGAGCTGTTATTCATTTGTGTTTGTGTGTCCCTCTAGGTGGAACTTTATCCTGCTCCTGTCAGTATGCTCAGCAGTACTCTCTGGAGAAGAAGACTACCTAGCTCAAGGTAAACAGCAGAACCCTAAGACATGAATTAAACATTAGCATTAGGATTATCACTTGTACTCGTTTTATATAAAGGTCCCCATCTTTCTTTATGTCTTTGTGACTAGTGAACTACTCTTTCTGACATTTGATCATGCAGCCATATCTACAGTCAGTTCTTAGAACTTCATCCATCTTTTGACATTCAGAGGTTTCAAAAGAATGTAAAGAAAACTGATATGTCTTGATTCCACGGGTTGCTCTCTGGGAATTTGTTGACGGGTTATATCACTGGGCCCTCTGCCAGAAATGCTAGATAGTGTATGCACACTTAACTTAAGGTTGACCTACCTCTCAATGAATCCTCAATATTCCTCACATCTCCACATATGTGTGCATTGTCTATTTGCCCCTTGCACAGAGGAAACAAACCGCCTCAAGGGTCCCTACCCTTATTTCATCATTTTCATGAGCCCACTCCTAGCAGGATCAATCCGTCATAACGAGGGGAGGAGGAATGCACACAGAGTGCTAGAGCAGCTTGTCTTCACATATGAGACAGGTTAATTGGAATCTGGGCTGACTTTACCTCGGGCTAAGAATGTCAAGGACATCTCAGTCTCCCTGCCAGGACTATAAATCCTGCAAAACAACATCCAGGATGGTGTACCGTATATATCTTATTTTTGTTTATTACACTTTCTCTCTCTGCTTCACCCTCTTTCCCTACCACCCTCCAAAGCACTGAAACAGAAAAAGAATGCTTCTGTTTCACTGTTTTTAGTGTTCAACACATCTATGACAGAAACAAAACTAGTGGACTCCATTGTTCTAGCATACAGTAATAAATTGCATTGTGACAGTGACAAAGTAATGGTCTTGAATGTTGATCAGGTATGTCTGGCAAATTTAGCAAATATAGATGCAATTTTTTCGGCCGATTTAGATTTTTTTTAAAGTCTGACCTGCTGATTCAGATTTTTGCAGATTTTTCTTTCTAAGAACTATAATTGACAGCAAGGCTCTAGGATAACTTTTTTCCCCACCGTCCTGGAACTGTCTAGAAAAAAATATTAACCCGCTCAAAGTCAGACTTAACAAAAAAAGGCTCTAAATGTTAACCTTATACTTTGTTATTGTCATGCATAAAAACACACAACTGAAATGATTAGGGAATAAATTATTGTATTTTAATTTAAATAGTTGCTTTGATTAAAATAAACATTCTTGGCATTAGTAGTTTTAATTATGTATAATAAGCTGCTTAGAGCTAGTGTCACCAAGTTTCTCGCCAGCCAAGTCAATGAAACCTTTGTTCATGTTAGCTGTTTCCTCTGTTAAAAGCCGTGATTACTCTGAGCTGCATGCATGGGGGTGAATGACAAAATGATAAAGTGATGAAGTCACATGTTCCAAATCTTTTTTTCAAGTTGCTCATCCAGGACTTATGTTGGACTCGCAGTTGTGACAAATTGCGAGCTTTACGTCGTCTTCTCTCGCGCTGAAGAATTTACACACCGACGTCCTGTAGTGTGTGTGTGTGTGTGTGTGGCCGTGGCTGTGACATCGCTGTCTGTGCCGCTGTGTGTCAATGCGAAACTATCATGTGGCACGCTTGTCTAAATGTGACCATTTAAAACATTTGAAACTTACAGTACGTGACTGATAAAATGCTTAAATTCATGCTGCTTTCTTGTACAGGCTTCCCTGTTCTTAGTCAGGCAGCATGCTCACAGATGCACACACTCACATTGCATTTCTTCTCAATCTCTCCCTCTTTCTTTCGCAAGTGAACATAAACACAGACACACAGGTCAGGGCAGCTTCTTAAATGGCCGACCCATTTCTGATTCACTTGATATTTACATTTGTCTTTCTGGAACTATTACTTCTCAATACTGACACGATGTGACATGTGTGACACATATGTCTATTGCTTTCATTCAAAGCCAACACTGCACGGAACTTCCTCTGTCTCCAAATAATGTTTGACTTAACATACAACATCTGTTACCTGTGGGCATGGGAAAACAATGACAAGACCATTAGGAGGAATGCTGATCTCATGAATCTCTGGTGGCAGATTGATTCAAAAAGGCTGTGTGGACTGGTTTCCTTTATCTTAGTTAGGCCCCATCCTTTCTCGAGTCCCTTCCACTCATCTGGGCCACAGCTGCCTTTCTGGTACTACTCTGGGAGAATAACTGGGAGGGGTCAGCAGCATCATAGGACAGCCAGTGACCAGTGACTTGTTGTTTTTTTTACTTGAAGAAGGACATTTATTAAACCTGTGATCAGTGAGAATTGCAACAATATCTACAGATATCATGTGCGTGTTACGGTGGTCTGTAATGACTTGAATATGTTTGTCTAGGGACCATTGTCCCGCGTTGCTCCCCATGTTTCTTGTTGGTCCTTGTTGTCAACTCTTGAACAAAATCTTCACTTCACAATTACTTTTTCACGAAAGACATCAAAAGCCAAATTCACACTCCACGACTTTTGAAGTTGTCAGATCGCTGTTCACGCTATACAAATTGCTGTCTTGCAATCGTGAGTCTTGTAGTCGTTGTGTTTATCATGCTACATGACAGGGTGTCACACACTACAACCTTTCTCCAGGAGGAATTCCAGATGAGGTCTCTAAACTATGTTTTGTCACGATAACACACGCCAGAGGTGACACTGGAATAGCATTGCTTGTTGATGTTGGTGTTGGCAGACATGTTCACATAATAGCCTGTGTCAGCACATCCTAACTATTTCCCTATGTAGATCAGTCACTGTGTTAAGTTCTATGTTTATTCATGCCAACATCTAACACCCTAGGTACAACATCAACTTTGGTATTGCAAATGCAATGCATACAGTACATGAAGTGTCTCCCGCTCTCATTGGCCTTGGCTTCCTGGCACACACCCTTACAGGATAAGATATTTAGTATTCTAGATATCTGGAATGCATATGCCTCTTTGCTCGCGTCATTGAACAGTTCACACATTGCGTTCGCGAGCCGATGTGTGACTTCCGAGGCAACGTGGATTTGCCTCTGATCTGGGGCTTTTGTCGGAGAGATCCAAAAACTGTCAGTGAGTGTAAAATCAGGGCTAAAGTTGTGAGAACTATTGCTTTCATTAAATATAAACACAGGCATTATACATAGCAATGGAATTGTGTTGCCCCCTGTGCTGAATCTGGCTTTGTCAGGCTAATTAAAAGATATTTGTCTTTTTTGGTTTATGGTCTTAAATGGTAGTTGTTTCCTAAGGATCGTTGTAATCCGATAAAAAGTTAAACAGTCTCTCAATTACATTACCATTAATATTTGCTCTTTTTTATCAATTTAATAGTTTGTAATTTGGTTTAAAAGTTTAATTTTGTGGTTCTAGAGAAAAGAGAGGGAGAGAAAACATGGTCCCCAGTAGGACTTTAAGTAGACTCTTCACAATTACATGGAATCAGACTGTTGCATAGACCGCAGAGCTACCTGTCTTATTATCTTTTCTTTTAATATTATTGCTATTTGGGTTTGGTACAGTTCTGTAGATGTGTCGCCCTTTATTGTTACAATTAACTGTTGTGCATTTCTCAAAATCCACTGCAAGTACCAATCTCAATTCGACAACAAATCCATGAAGATGACCTCGGAAAAATTGTACTCCAAAACAGTTCAAACTTGTTTTAGTGACTTTATCTCGAAATAAATTGTCAATATTTACAAAAGTGAGTACCTTAAAAGAAGTCCAGGACATGTTTAGTTTTCTTTTTAGAAACTATTTAACCAAAGCCTATCTGCTTTGTGATCCAGTTTAGGCATCTTAAACTTACCATTGTCTCCTCTGTCCTTCAGGAGTGGATATCCTCTATCGACTGGGGCTTTCAGCTCGAAGCAGCACAGAAAAGAGGACAAGCCCACCTTCGACTGCTCACACCACTGTTCCCTCACCTTTCAATCTTCCTGTTTCTGGATATGGGGTATTATTCGACTCAAACTCCCTTTACGAGGCTCCGGCAGCCAGTCTGTTCCCACCTGAGATTGGCGAGGAGTTCTCTGTTGTGGTTAGCCTGAGCTCCTGGCGAGCAAACAATGCTTTTCTTTTTAGTGTCAAAGATGGCAGGGACAGACTGCGTTTTGGCATTCAGCTGCTGCCACGCAGAGTGGTGGTTTACACTGCAGAGAAAGCCTCCATCTACTTCACCTACAACTGGCAGGATGGGCGCCAGCACCCTTTTGCTGTTGGTGTTCGTGCACACTCGGTGTCATTCTATGCGGATTGTGGAGCAGTACAGCAGCGGGAGCAGACCCTGGGGAGATCTCACACACTGGGAGATTCTGGGGGTCTCTTCACTCTTGGCAGGATGAACTCTAAAGCGGCAGCATTTCATGGTCGAGTCTGCCAACTAGATGTCTATCCGTCTGCCGAAGCTGCCGCACACTACTGCAACTACCTTAAAACACAGTGCCGGCTGGCCGACACTTACCGATTGCCTTTGCCGCATCCGAGTTTGGATATTAAGGCAAATGACCCTCCTTCCGACCCTTTGACAAAGCCCCTTGTTGGAGTAGCAGCTACCCATCACACTCCCTTAAAAGCTACAGCAGCTTTCAAACTGTCCCCAGGTAATTCGGCCATGCAGTATTCAACACTGAGCCCATCAGGACAACCTCATCTGAGGGGTCAGAGCCACATTTCCAAATCGGATCCCCTTGCTTTCTCCACCTCATCTTCGTTTCAGCGTGACAGCCCTACCTTAGCCACCTTGAGCGGACGAGCAGTTCTGGATCTCGCCTATAGCACAACTATCACCACTAACAAAAATGTGTTGGCAAAAGGGAGTAGCCCGCAGGGGGACACTGATCACTCTGAAAACAGCACAGAGGAAGAGATCAGCTCTGGGAGCCTGCAGTCTCCAGATGCCACCCCAGGCCTAATTTCCCCAGTCAGGCAAAGTCGGGTGAAGGAAGGACTCAGTAACAGCACCATTAACAGCTCCAGGGACTCTCACTCTGGGCCTAAACAGACTCATCAGCTCCTGAAGACTCATCTGAGAGTCAATGGCACCACTTTGTACCGAGAGAATCCGGTGGACACCTCAGAACAGCACGAGCTGGATGGCAGCTATGAGGATGTAGACATGGGAGGATATGATTATGGGTATGAGGATACAGACTATTCCTATGACTACGAAGATGGTTTCCGTGGCCCCAAAGGAGAGCCAGGTTCTCCGGTAAGTAATCTATGAATGACAAGTAGAGCTATGAGTGTTTATGGAACATTATTCAAAGAGTTGAGACACAACTCAGTGCAATGCTGTACATGCTCAAGAGGGAAATGGCAATACGAGGGAATCAAAGGTAATTTAGGGCCATCCCACTTACAATGCTATGTAAAATTTGGCCTTGTGACATACACGCTGTATATATGAAAATATATTTTGGCAGGGCGGTGCAGTGATTTGTAGGTGATGGCATGTCCAAGCACTGTTCTTTTTTCATGTATCTACAAGTTGTTAAAATAACATGTCATTCCCTTGCTGCAATACTGGCAGCCACTTTTGCTCTTATGTTAGAGAGGAAACTCATCTGAAGGTTGGAAGTATACCCTGGCTAGAAAAGCTAGCTGTACATCTAGCCTTATGATGTAAGCAGGCTGTCAGGATACCTTCGCCTCTGAACATGCTTTTATAGCTCAGACTTCCAGGTATTGCTTAAGTTTCCATGAATGAGATGTGTCGGGACTGAGGACTTAAGAGTTTGTGTAATGATGTAAGATGTCTGGACTCATCTACCAGTTTCCATAGATCCCCTTTAAGTGCCTGCAGGTCTGTAGGTGCAACACAGCTTTGCCAGCACTGAGCTGTTGCAACATATCTTCATGTCTCAGAGCATGAGTACACTGTACTGCAGTATTATGAGCAAGATACAGTCAAAGACTTTTCCAGTCGGTCACAATTTGACGTAAATATTGATATTAAAAAATTCTTTGTCAGTCTACGTCTTGGCTACTCTGACCACTTTGTTGCAGGCATGCTTTGAATGCTGGGTCATCTGGAGGTCGGTGGCTCACTCTGTGTCATTGGCTCTTCGTTTGAACTTGAAAAGAGCTGGTTTACATCCTCAGGGGAAGTATTTCATAGTTTTGCAGCCACATAACTAGACAGCGGCATGTGCAGGGGGAAGACGTGAGCCTGCTTAACCGTTTTTTGAGCTTAACAGCAGTTAACAGAATCTTTTTCACTGGAGCTAATTTATAACAATGATAAACAATCTAATATGGGTCATATATAAGTGTGGAAGTGTAGACTTCAGTCAGTCATCACGTCCTTAATGCATTTCCCGGCATTTATTAGTTACATGGTCTGTTATTAAGCTACCTACAACAGACAGCTTGCGTTTTTAACCACATGTTGGGTTACAACACAGGAGCTATTCAGCTCAAGTTAATGTCACACAATGCAACAAGTTCAAAAGATGATTCATTCTACCCTTCAACTTTACAGAGATTTGACTTCTTGAATTGACTCAATTGGGAAAAAATGTACTCTTGTTTTGACCGCATGTGTGAAGGATATGAGTATTATCATTTTAGTGCATGAGTGCCTCTCTTTCTTTCGGCCTTGTTGTTGTGGTGAAGTTGTGTGCTCACAGTTTCCATGTGTCTGTGTGTGGGAGTGCAGAGGAACACACAACTGCTTCTTTATTCATGTCTCCCTCCGTGCCCATCTGCTCTGACCGGGGTTAAGGATGCTCCAGAACACCCTGTCATGAGCTCTTGCTATAGCAACAATTCAGAAAAGTAAATACTAGTAAATTAAATAGCACAATGTCTGTTTTTCATCTAAAAGTGTGAACTTTACCTTTGGGGGGGTAAAAGAACAACTTGAGGAATAAATAGCTTCCTTGCCCAGAAGGGGATTTCCTGCTGAGTCCTTAATGTTATGCAGTGTTGGTCATCTCTGTTCAAGTGTGTAATATTCAATACAGCTCTCCTTTAAGTGAATCAATCTCTCTCACTCAATTTACACCTCAGCGTACTAGCTAATGCCCTCCACTAAGTGTTAGTATTTTTAAACTCTACCCCTTTTCCGGTATTTCTCTTCGGCTACACTTTGGCAATCAAAGCCGAGTAAGAAGAAGCAAAAGGTTTGACATGCCTGATGTAAAACATCGGACTCAGCATTTTTGCATTTGTTGTATCAAATGTCAGTAATTAGGGCTGGCTGATCATTTAATATAACTGTAATTGTCACTTAATAGAGTCACATATTTGTGAAATTACCAGATATTGTGGTTCAGATTTAATTTGAATACATGTATTTGATATTATAATAGATTTTTCCAGCAAAACAAAACAAAAACATTGGATATTGTTTAGCATGAGACTCCTTACCAGAACATGAAATGCAGTTTTTCCATGAAGAAGGATTTGTTAATGCCACAGACTGACCACGGGCTGGTGGTGTCAGTCTCATCTCCAGAATGTAACCTGACCCTTCTGTTCAGAGGGATTCCCAATAGAGCTTTTAGTTGAAAACACTTGGCGCCTGTCTTTGAACTTCATAGCTCTCTTACATAAATATAGCACATACTCATCATTGCAGGGCCTTGGACAGTGCACTGCATGTTATTGCTTGCCATTGACCTACTCTCATCTCTCCCCCCTTCACTCCCTCTCTCTATACAACATTACCTTCTCGCTTTCCCTGTCCCTCTGTCTCTCTGATTTAGGGTCCTCCTGGTCCCCCTGGTTTACCTGGTCCTTCAGGAAAAAGAGGTTCTCGGGTGAGTAACCTGCGCAAAGGGGAAGGTACACAGGAACATACTTTAAATGAATTGTTAACTATTTATCAGGAGGAGCATTCTGACCATCTCACTCTATGTGATAGTGGCATTCAAATAAAGATGTTAAATTTAAAATAGAGGATTTATTTTCACTACCAGATATGTGTCTTTTATCTCTCTTCATGCATTCTCTGCTTTGCATCAAGGGCCAAACAATGCATCTTAGCTTTGATACAATAACATCATATCACAGCCTGTTGTAAGCTTTTATAGACAAATTCCAATTTGAATAGTTTTTTATGAATACATGATAAAGTTCACAATACAATAGATAACCACTTGTACTAGGTTTGCTTTTATTTGTTCGGTGGATGTGTGTTACTTGGCTTAGCGAGGATGTTGCTCCATCACTACGGAGGCGGTGGTTAGTGCATTTCTGCTGCGCTCCTGAACATTTCTTTCTCAGACGCAGAGTGATACTGAAAATGCAAAGTCATAACAGTGGTATGTGGGTATTATATCACGGCTATGAACCAATCAGATTGCTTGATTTGAGTTACCCGTGTTATAAAACTCTTTTATATGGTGAGGTCTGTATAGCTGAACTGAAATTGTTTTTTTGGTAGACTGATCTCAGAAAATATGAACAGAAATACCACATGGAACTATTGTAACATCTTTTGAGATGCTGGCCACTCATCAGGGGCCAACATGCAATAGAAATGAAGTTAGTGCTTGGTTACCTATTGACAGTTTTGAACACCTGCTTTTGGACAATGACTCTCAAGTGTCCGAATAATGATCACTGACAAGTCATTGCTCATTAACACGGGAAAATGTTTTTAAGTGCATGATGAGCATAGTTGTTTCTTTCTGTGTATTAAATGTAGGCAATGTGTGTGTGGTTGTCTTTGTCGGTTTGTGATACTCCACAGCCTTTACACAGATCTTACAACTCTGGAAAATGACCAAGGCAGCTATTATTTTATCTTTTGTCACGATGATTGCAAAGTTAACAGTCGAAATACAGCGTTTCAGAGTAATGCAACGCATTTTGCCAGATGACGTCATGTTGCATTGCAGCAACAGTTGAGCCAGGTTCAATGTGTTATTGGATCCCCCTTCTTTGGCATCTCCACTGCGTTAAAATTCAAATCATTCTGAAAGCGGACGTCTGTTCTGCTGCATTTTAAGAGAGCATGACAGGCGGACCAAAAGGCAGATAGACAGGAAGACGGGCTGGCAGACAGAGTGAGGTGGCAGATAGTAAAACATGTCTCCCAGTAAAAGGCTTGGAAAGCACATAGCTGATACATAACATACTCTTAACTCCATTGGCTAAGTCATAAAGTGGAGACAGAAGGGAGGCTTGGAATCATTACATGGTGGGAAGCTGAGGGCAGTGTGCGGGACTGTGGTTGTGTCTTTGCTGTCTCAGCACAGAGCAGCAGACTTATTTTGCTATTATTGCTTTAATTGTTCATGTTATCAGACTATGAGTCTATGGTCCAGGGTATACCATTTGGTGTGGGCATTTGTCATGGAAACAGGCAAATTTACTTCAGAGGGTCTTTTCTTTTAAACAATCTCTGAAGGCGGAGACAGTTTAAGTATTCAGTTGGTGATTGATACAATAATCAAGTGTTATTAAGGAATGAAGGAAAGGGCTGCAGTGATTTTTGTATTGCTGTTTTGCAAACTTATTATATCATTATATATTGTTTTTTATATATCTTTGAGGCATACATAAGCAAAATGTTTTGTAAGTTAACATTTAAGACTCTTTAATCACACTTTACCAAAACCAAATAATGACTTCAAGAGGTTATTTATATTCGATTTGTTATGGTCAACATGCTCTTGCGGAAACCAGGCTCAGATTACTGACAAAAAAGGTGCTAAATTTGAATTTCACAGCATATATATAGTGCATACACTAGGCTCTATGGCTCATTGATGAAAGTATTGCGAAGTTTATGTATTTACAGTATTACAAACTGGGTGTCTGTGGTGACATTGCCGTAAATCAATGATGTATTAAAAGTTTCAACTACAAGACTTCAGACTCCTTTAAAAACATGACAGTGGGAGAGAATAAGAAGGCGAGAAGGAGAGCCTGTTTCCTGGTTCTTGGCTGTAATGCAGAGAAAGCGTGGTCTGCAAGCAGCAGGCTAAAAGATGTGCAGGAATGTAGTGCATTTATGGTGTGTGTGTGTGTGTGTATAGGAATGTGCACGAATGCACAAGGCATACATGTGGATGTGGGGTTGTGCATTCATTGCATACCTGTGATGTTCAAGGAATTCTGTCTCATGACGGACGTGGTGGTAGTGGAGCTATCAAGGTGCTTTCCATTGAGAGATCTGAACGAGATGTGAAAGAGAGCCAAACTATTCAGTTATTATTCAGGCTTATGACTCGTCTGAAGACAGAACCAGGATAGGGTTGATTGCCAATTAGGTTATTCACAAGAAATGTGCCTCGGTACAATAATACAATAAACAATACTGATAAAATACAATAAACATAATGAGGAAATAAAAATGCAGGCAAAGTACTGCAATAGTCAAGAAGATAAATATAGAAGAGAAAAATTACAATAAAAATATTTAAAAGATAGTTTTAAAATACCAGAACAAATATGTACAGTGTAACTGTATTTCAGTATGAGACAGCTGTAAGGTTTTGTGCTGAATGTGCAAAAATATTGGTCAGTGTGCAAAAGTTCACGGTGAAGAAGATATGTGCAGTGTATGAAGGGTGTAGTTAGTGCAGATACGCCTCCTCTCCTTGCATCTCAGTCCCACCCAAGGGAGAAGCGAGCGAAGGAGACGAGGAAGAGATGCAAGTCGAGGCAACGGGCATTTAACAAAATGAGCATCCTTGACTTGGAGCTGTCGTTTTAAAGCGGGATCAATTAAATATGATAATATAGTGAAATTTCAAAACAGTGTTTATTCATACAACATTTTGCCGTTAACACCTGTTTACACTTTTAAACATCATGTCACGATAATAGCAGTTGAATTTGTTGTCGTGTACGTTCAACGATAAAAACACAAGTAATATCAAGGTGAAATGTTGCCTCGCTACACAAACGGTGAAGGGCAGAGAGTTTGATCAAATTTTGTTTTTTTAAGATGATCTTCCGCAATGGATACGACTGTGTATTCTCGCTTATGCATCCTAGGCTTCAAGATGAAGTGCTGAGATCAATTTACTGGGCGCAAGCCGGAAGATTGTGGAGCGAGGAGATGAGGAGCTACAAAATTGAGAAATGGGAAGAGCCCCAAGTCAGTACTGAACTGTTGCTTTCAGCAATGCACAGCCATTTAATGTCATGCGCTCTCTCTCTCTCTCTCTCTCTCTCTCTCTCTCTCTCTCTCTCTCTCTCTCTCTCTTCCAGGGTCCCAACGGTCCGCATGGAAGCCCAGGACAGCCTGGACCACCTGGGCCCAAGGTGAGTGGCCTTCTCCCATGCTAGGGGGATACAAACAGTTACATTTGGCAGAAAAGGCTCTGCTGTTTGAGGGAACTCTCAGAATCTGGATTCTGCTCAGAGAAAAATCAGAACAATGCAAGTCACAAAGAACACATGGGGCTTTAACCAGATGGTTGATATTGTGGCAGTCTGCAGCCAAAGTTAAAATCTTCAATTTATTTTCATAACCTATAATTTGACATCTAAGAAGTGGTGATAAATATGATAGCACCATTGGTAATAATGGCACAGTTGGTTGGATTTGGGAGTCATTGTTGGACAGTCAAATTAAGATTTCAAAGAAGGGGATAACAGCCTGATCTCTCTACTGCCTGAGGATGTGTACTGTCATTGAACATGCTAGCCTGCCGATCATCACCACCGAAAAAAACACAACCAAGAACGTGAGATGGCAATGTCATTACTGCGAGAAATCAAAGGATATTGTATCTAGCTTGATGCCAAGTCTTTGATGCCTTTCTGATCAAATTGCCTGTTTTTGTCATTTGTAATCAAGAGCCATCTCCTCTCACAGGCAGGCAAACAGTTTGTCTGTCTGTATGCATTGTAATCAATATATCCTTTTAAGTTGAATATTGTTTGACACTAACATCTAATGTTTAGAATGAGTATTTATACTTTCGGACGGAAAACGACCCAAACTCAGATCACGTGTGTGAAATGTGCGTGACTCTTGCCTGAATTTGTTAAGCCTCCCACGCTTGGCTCGGGTTGTTTTTCAGAACCTCTTCAGGAAATCTCTGCTGCTCATGTTGTTTTCCCTACAAGACTGTGTTGTAGTGATCTTACCTGGTCACTCAATGTCTTCTAAACCTTTGACACTTAAGTCTACTCCGCTGCAGTTAAAGCTTTCATCAAAAGGAATTAATTGTAGCAGATAATGAGCCAATCTCTGTTATTTAAAACCGTGCAAGTGGGATTAAACCAGACACAGCCAGAAGTCGGTAAGAGTGATAAAAATGAGCCATTGTGTTCTCACAGTGCAGCAGGAAAGGCTGGAGGAGACAAGGACGGTTGTTGGCCTAAATGACAGACCCCATAGCAGATATTGTTGTAAGCCGGGCTTTCACCATGGCATAATGGAGCTACTCCTTGCTCATTTGCCATGAGGCTGACTTAATATGAAGAGAAAATAAAAGAAACTAGGCATTTTTTAAATCTTTGTTAAGTTTTTCCCAGCATGGGATCAGATGAAAAGGATACTTTGGTACAACTGAACAAGGATGTGGGCTGATGGTTGTGGTGACTGTGGTCCCGACTGTCTACCACAGAGTGCATGCTGTATGCATGCACTCAATTAGGGAACAGTATTGCTATAAAAGCTGAAACAAAGGACAAGTGGATGGTCCACCTTCCCCTCCTTTATCTTTTTATGTGAAACTGTTTGCTTATAAGTGAATAGCTCTTCATTTGAAATTGTAATACATAAACTTTATAGCTAATGACAAGACAAATATATGGAAGTACTTTTCATGAATTCTGATCTCTTTGTCTACCTCACCTCACACACATAAAGAGAGGAATGTTCTGTTTTCCTCCTTGATTAGTCAAACAGCACATCGACATAGATGTATTTGTTCTGTGTCACCCTTGACCTTGCTGGGACACTGTGTGCTTTTGGCTGAGGGCGTCTGATTGGTGAAATATGGGGCCACCTGCTAGCTTGCTGTTCCTTCAGCTTGTAGACCCACGTTGGTTTGTACACAGAGAAAACCCCAAATCAGCGTATTTAATACCGTAGTGACCTGTTAGTGAGTCATCCTCACATCCCCAGCCCCATTGTGGAGGCGGAATAGAGATTGAGAGACTCTTTGTCTCAGTTTGGAAAGATATCTCTTGTTAAAATGTGTTTGGTTACTAGGACGAGAATACAAAGTTGTTTAGTCCCTGAAGCTGAGCTTAGTTGACGTGTTTTAAGCACAGTCTGAAGTGTTATGACAATAAGCTTGCTGAACTTAAAAGATCTTCTTAGTCTGCTTCATGCACTGCTGACTTTTTCAAACAGAAAGGAACCCTGGTATTACGCCGTGATAGAACTTCTGCTCTCCCACCCCCATGCTTTTCTATGCCTCACTGGCTGTCAGTCAAAACTATGGAAACATGATGCTCAAAATCTACTGGGGAAAATGTACGGACCTAAGGTGTCAAACAATGGCTTAGTACGCCGCACCAGAACCAGCTGAAAGGTTTTTTTTACATTTCATATTCAGAAGTCCTTGCTACTGCACACCTCATCACATGTACAAACCACTTTTTGAACAATCAAAGAAGATATTATAGTGTATTGATTGACACTTGTTTGACATCTTTTCTTACTTTCCAAACCTGTTTTTGTTATTGTTCACCTGTGTTCCTGATGAGCACAATTATGACGAGATATAGGATGAGACAATCCCATTTATATATCGATAAAGTTTAATGTTGTGATATATAACACGTATATTTTCCTGTGTATGTGTATTAAACATGGTCAGATCTTGTATTTGTTGTGTGTGGATGCAGTCTGATCTGTATGTTTTAAGAGTAACGTATGGACATAGCTGTGTGGACGAGCGACAGAGAGAGAGGTGGATGCGCTAAAAGCAGACTGGTGATCAGAGCTTAGGTTTGATAGTTTAGTTTTCACTGTAGGATTCAGTTTGTATATGAATAAGCATTGTTGCTCCTCAAAGCCAACATTTGAGGATGTGGGCATGTTCATAATTCTCTTGGGATGCAACTTAGGCAAGGACTGGTCTGTTTAACAAAATAACATTCATTTCACAATAACTCTTTAGATGAGTTATCTAGAACAACAAATTGTTGAAAAAAGCACGATTACATTGTTGAATTTATTTAAATGAAAGCAGTCAAACATAGCTTAGCCATGTCATGTGATATGTCTGTTTTAATAAAAGCCACATGTGGCTTTGACTTTCAACTGAACATTTAGCTGAATTGTGCTTAAATTATGTTGAGGTATCCAAAGACTGCTGCTTCGTCATGCCATATCACCTCTGTAGATGCAGCTCTATCTGTAAGAATGTTTGAGTTTAAACTACATTTTTATATGTCTGACAATAGAACATATTTTATGACCCTATCCTCATCGGTTTAAGAAGAAAAGCCTGAAGACCTCTGGCTTTTGAAATGCAATATTGCTGTTCTTTGGAAATGCACTTACCACCAGTTCCATTCTGGCAGACTCTTTGATTTGTCTTCTGCCTTGTGGGAATAACACATGTGGTCTGGGATGACACAGAAACTGAGTGAGGTCCGGATCCTCAAAGGCATTTGTACTTTATTGCTTAGTGTTACTTGCTTAGTCACTGTGCAGACATGTGGATGGCAACTCTGCAATGACTTCTAGAACTGTCCTTTATACATGAAGAATTGTATGTACGTTTAAGTATTACATTGAAAGATCAAGGGACCTTGATCGCTGCAGTGTATTCAGAATAGGACTGAAATTCCTAAACTATATAAATAAATAAATGTGTCCAAGATGTACTCTTTGCTGGGCCTTTTTTGAATTTCTTGCTATTTTAAAAGTCACTTAAAATGGTAATGATACTTAAATTATGCATTTATACCATTCACTGATATCAATAAATTGGGTGGATTATTGTCATGGTTGATTGAAAACTTTGGCTTCAAAACTGTGACAGCTGTCACAGTAAAATGCAATTACAACGAAAATGTTCGGAAAGCAAAAGTGGTCTCTTCAAAGGCACATACATGTACACATACTCACCAGTGTTGCAGAGCACACACCTCCCTCCATAATGCCTGCTGTGTCACGTATGGAACTGAACTACAAACGGTTGAAACCACAGACTGTAGAAAAATATGGATATAACATCCTTGACCCATAGATTTCTAAAGGGACATTTTAGTTGTTTCAGCTGTTTGGAGCCACAATATCCTAATTTGAACAGCAGTGTAATGTTCATCACAGCTAGCCACTTAACTGTCCTTGCATCACCGATTTATACCTCTATTTTTAGAAACGTTTGGGATCTTATTCTGTTGACTTCAATAAAGTTGAATATTTTTGTGGCGCTAGCATCCTGCTACCATTAGAGGAGCTGCATCTCAAGACATCTCCACATTGGCCACAGATTTTGCGCTTGGCTATAGCCAAAGAGATAATGGGAGAAGCAGTCCAAATTATGAGAAAGAGAAAACATGCAAATTCATCTGATTTAATTAACTTGCTTACTCACAATTATTGCACTTCTAAAAATCTTTCAGTTGTTTATTAAAAACAACAAACTTTAATGCTGGTAATAAAATAGGTGCTTCATGAGATTATTGAACAATTGATTTTTTTGAGAATAACCATAATTTGAGAAATCTGGTGTTGCCAAAAGAATGTAGTTGCTGTCATCATAAGTCATCCCTTATCCTTTGACCCTGTTTCTATTCTAGGGCTCAAAGGGAGACCCAGGGCTGTCTCCAGGCCAGGCTCCACCAGGAGAGAAGGTAAGAAATCTTCCACCGGTCTCTGTGTCAAGCTCCCTGGTCCTCTGTGCTCCTCTGGCCCTCTTAACTGTCACAGAGCCTTTAGTCGTTTGACGGTGATTCTTGTCTTGAGGCATTTTACCCGAGCTGGTCACACAGACACTTAATCTCTGCCCAGTGGCTGCTTTTGATCTCTGCTTGTGATTTAACGTATCCTAATGTGGGCAAAGATATTATGAAAAGAATCCTAAAATGTTTGTTCAGATCAGTAGATTATAACAGTTTACATATACTGTAGTGTATATGATGAGTCACTTAACGCTTTCTAATATGTGGATGATGAAAAACAGATTTTTTAATTTCATCTAATTAACCATTTTCTGTATATACAGCGGGTAAATTAAGTATTGAACGCGTCACCATTTTTCTCAGTAACTATATTTCTAAAGGTGCTGTTGACATGAACTTTTCACCAGATGTCGGTAACAACCCAACTAATCCATACATACAAAGAAATCCAAACAAATTAGTTCAGAAATTAAGTTATGTGTAAAAAAATGGAATGACACAGGGAAAA